TTCACATTTAGCGTTAATTTATTGTACTGGAACCACTTTTTTATTTCTAAAAAATCTCTTTCTGCTATAGTTTTTAATTCCGCCCAAGTATTTGCAGAATAAAGAATTGTTGTATCATCTGCAAAGCTAATAATTTGTCCAGGACTATCAATAAGTAGTAAATTATTTATATAAAGCGTGAACAGAAGAGGTCCCAGCACGGTTCCTTGGGGTACACCCACAGAGATCCGTTCGTAATTACTCTTATACTCACCAATCTTAACTACCTGCATTCTACCAGATAAGTAGCTTTTTATTAGTTTTGACACATTACCTCGAAGCCCGCAATTCTCTAATTTTTCTAGTAATATCTCATGACTCACCGTATCAAAAGCTTTTGACAGATCTACAAAGATACCCAAGACCGGTATTTTTTTATCCACGGCATTGTAAATACAAGACGAAACGTATTGTATTGCATCTTCTGTGGATCTACCCCTCCGAAATCCAAACTGTCTCTCTGATATTATTCGATGTTTGTCCAAAAACTTAACAATTCTCGATTTAATAATTTTTTCGTAGATTTTAGACACATTAGAAATTAACGAAATAGGCCGATAATTAGAAATATCATACTTATCTCCACTCTTGTAGATGGGTATAACGACACCCGTTTTTAACACCTCCGGGAAGTAACCATTGTTAAAGCTGAGATTAATTAAAAATGCCAAAGGTTTTGATATTTCCGACTTAATTTCCTTTAATGTTTCAGAATAGATTTCATCATATCCAGGTTTTTTATTTGACTTTAGCTGTTTTATAACATCTTCCACTTCGTAATCAGTAGTGTTGAATAAGTACATTGTTGATTCTAAAATACTTTTCTTTTCTTCCTTGTAATTTTTAGGAACAGTAATATTTTGTGACAGTTTTTTCCCTATAGAACTAAAATATCTATTGAATGCATTGCATATGTCTTGTTGGTTATTTAAGTTTATTCCACTCTCTGTTATTATACGCGTTATGCTGGATTGAGGTTTTGTTTTGTTTCGTATATTGTTAACGGTATCCCAAAGACCTTTTGGTTTGTTACGATTTTTTTCTATTAATTTTTCCGCATACTTTTTCTTAGATATAGTAATCATTTTTTGTGTTTCATACTTCTGTTTCTTATACTTTGCCGCTATTTCAGGATTATTAGGAAACTGCTGTGTCTGTTTATACAAGTCATTTTTAGCATTTATTTCTTCTATTATTTTTTGATTTATCCAGCTTTTACGTGGTTTATTTTTCCAATTTTTTGAAACTGTATTTGTATTTTTCATGATATAATCTTTCAATTTGTTAATAAACGCAATAGTAGCCGATTCAATATTAAAAGTATTATATAAATTTTCCCATTTTTCGTTTGTCAAATCATTTCTTAAATTTTTATAGTTTACATATTTCTTTTCCAATTTTACCTTAGTATTTTTCGTTACATTCTTTTCTTGATCCATCATTAAAGCAATTGGATAATGATCTGTTATATTGTAATGAAATAGTACTTAGTAATTCTCTTGGTAGATATTATTGCAAATTCTTTGAATTCTTCTACGTGATAGCACAGGTGATGAGATATTCAAAAACTACTTTCATTTATATCTGTATCAATTAATTTTCACTCACCTGTACTATTTTAATAAACTGTATCACTTGTATCTAAGTTTTTTATTTTTTATTTCTTAGATAATTTTAGTTTTTCGGATATTTTTAACGGATAAAACTTTAAAACATATTTACTCTTGATATGCGACGTTGCCATAAAAAAAATAGAATAGTTTTGAGAATCGAATACATTTCGAATCTTTTTGAATTCAAGTACATATTTGAGAAAATCCAATACATTTCAAATCTTTTCGAATTCGAATACTTTGGAGAATCGAAATAATTTTCTCTAAAACGGTATGGAAATTTTGGAAAAGTATACACGGGGTTAACTATTTTAGATCAAGCAAAATTTTTTATGAAGATTGCATTTTTCTCAAAATGCCAATAATAAAAAAGATTTCTTCGACACCTGTAATTTCTAACCAATCAAAACGTGTTTTTTTGACAAATCACCATGGCAAGGCATAAATTTTAGTGAAAATTTTTTCCTTGTGGGTACCCAACAGCGAATTATACTGGAAATTTTTTGACGTTTATAATGACAGAATATCTTTTTGAGAGTCTGGTTTTTATTTGTTTACATGATAATTTTGATACATTTCCATTACAAAGCTGAGATGAAAGTTTGTAAACTGCTTCCATACGCTTGACTTCGATTTCCTAGTATTCGCGAGTGTCAACTGCTTAATCTCCTGGCGAATATTTTCTTTGCTTTCATGACCGAAGCGAAACATTTTTTTTAAGCCGTGCCGCTTGACAGCTTCAAAACTGAAATCGTTTTTAGGTTTGGGTGTCACTTAGTTGTCATAGTAACTAAATAATCAATTCTACCAAAAATCGAAAAATACATTTTAATTATTTGATTTTCAAACACAATTTGGTGTGGAATTTTCTTACCGAATACCACACGAGGTCAAATTAAATCCGGACATTTTTTCTCGCTCATGAATATTTTTAGAAAATTATCCCTCGTCTTCGACTCGGGATAATTTTCAAAATATTCATGAGCCCGAAAACATTTCCGGAAATAATTTGACCTCTAGTGGTATTACTAGTGAAAATTTTGGAATGGATTTTTTTTTAAATATAGTTTATAAAAACTATTTTATGTAATCTGTGCAAACTCTTAATAATTGCAAAATTACAATAGAAGTTAAAGTTTTTGCCTATATCCATCTATATTAAATAATAAATTAATATGGATGATGTTTCGTGTACACAGGGTATGTCAAAAGCATGTGCCATCTCTCGTGGGGAGATTCCTCTTGTAAAAATAAGTATTTTTCATATTAACAGAGATTATGTTATCACCGATTCTGCTTTGTTTCGTAGCTACAGGGGGTTAAGGTCTTCATCTTTTTTCGATTTATTATAATTTTCTTCCAAGTCCTTTTAGTGTTTCGAATTAAATTTTGAGGGCAAAATGTAACTCTAAATGCGACATATTTTAATGCTAAAAAAATGTCGGCGTATTCACGCATTCGTGCATATGTGTTATCACTGGAATATTTTTCTTATAAAAGAATGTAAGCCACTGACTTTTTTCTCTTGCTAGTAAAATAGTGTAAACAGCTTAATGTCGATTTAAAGTTGTCTTTTGATATTTTGTTGATTTTCGCCCCCTTGATGAGATAAACGCAATTTTATGCTTTGATCGAAGTCTAATAGCAATATCATTAATTTGCAAAAGTTTTAAATAAGTACTCATACTCAAGCATAGTTTTAAAGTTACAAGATGTAAAAACTTTTTAAAATTGGGTTTTTTGTAATAATTATCTTAAATACCATTATTTCTTTATTTATGCGGTGCACTATGGTTTCTAGAAGCTACTTTTTTGGCTAAAATTAAACAACTTACATTTAATGGAAAATATTGACGGTAAATTTGTGTTTTTAATAAAATAATAAAAGGCTAATAAAATGAAGTTATTTTTAATCTTCTCATTCAACGTGTGATTAATTTTTACCTATGAAGCATCTTCTGTATCTAGTTCTAAAAAAGAAAGTTGATCCATAATCGCATTACTGCTGTCCAAAAAACAATCTTCTTTAGAAATATTTTCTTGCTCTTCTTCTTTTTGCATTTCTTCTTCTCCTTGCTCTTCCTCCTCGTATTCCTCTTCTTTTCCATGCTTCTCTTCAAATTGTTCTTCCTTTAACTTCTTTTCGATAAAGTCAGGTACACGTAGTAGGTTAAGTACGTCGGCAGTATGTTCCTCAGAAACTTTTGAGGCCATTCTTCTCTGGGTTCTGGAAGATTGCTCCAAAAAATAATCGTGGGCAGCCGGCAGATGATGTGGATGGAAGAGGTTCATTTAACTCAAGAATAAAATCCTCCTTTAACCAGTCATCATTTTGTTTTAAAAATACATTTTTAAGCCGCGAAGCCGCCTGCCATCTTCTTCCAAAATTTATACAAAGGCGATTTATCTTTTTTTCTATTGTGCCTGATAGTTCTTGTTCATTATTCTGAAATTTCTGACTTACAAAATTTGAAACATACTCGTTTTTCGAAAATTTATCGGCCCCTTATATATTTATAGCCATTTTTCCAAATTCTATTTTTTTCAATCGATACATAGCTGAAAAAAGAAATTCTTTTAAAAAAAAGTTGCAGCTAGTAGCAGCCAATTTTTTCTTTGATATGTTTAGAAAAAGGATTGTTTCAAATTTTACAGTAACATCTAGCATGGAGAAACATGGAGAATTTTTTATAAGTCAAACTAAACTTTTAACTTTTTATTTATGTTCTGTCTTAAACTCTTAATTTAAAAAATTACTTAATTAAAAAATAATGGACACTGATTCTTATGTGCAATTGTTAGTGATTTCTTAAAAAATACATACCATAAGTGTAAAAATAACAGTAATCCGTTTTTGTATCCCATTGAAATATATCACTTAATATTAACCAAAACTCTTCCGAAAATAAACAACAACTGAATAGGCACAAGTACTTGACTAGAACGTCTGAATATAAATGCTGATAAGGAATATAAATGAATACTAAACAAAAATATATGCATGTGGTCTTCTTCATTTGTATATCTGCTTGCATTCCACCTACAAAAAAAGTCCATATACAGTGAGTCTAAAATATTATTTTGTCCAAAAAATTAGCTTCTAGAAACCATATTGCGGTGTAAGGTGTTATTTATTTATTTTTTTGCGTGCATTAGTGTGGATGTGAAAAAATAAATTAATTTTATACTTTTAGAGATTATTTTAGAATTATGGATATAATAACTTTGTACTTATTATTGTAGTAATGAAACCTCAGACAAGGATTTACCTTAAGAGGATTCTATGTTTATTTTCTATTGTATATGAAGTGTTATCTACTTTGTAATTGATTTTTTGCAACTTTTTGTAATAGAACAAGATTAGAAGATGTAATTAGACTGATCTTCGTAATCCCAAACGTCTCAGGATATCAGGTAAGTTTTTATGTATTAAACCGTTGGCAGTAATAATTATTGGCAAAATTTTTACGGTTTTTAGATTCCAAACTCTCTTCAACTCAACGCTTAGAGCCTCATATTTATCTATCTTTTCTTTGTATACCCTACCTATGTTATCATCTACAGGAATCGACACGTCTATAATGGTAAGTTCTTTATTTTCCTTTTCCAACAGCATGATATCAGGCCTATTATTGGGTACTAGTTGATCCGTAATTATGCTCATATCCCAATAAAGCTTAGCAGAATCATTTTGGATTATTGCTTTAGGCTGGTATTTATAATATGCCTCTTTATTTTGGACTATTTTGTGTTTCAGACCCAGTTGTTGGTGGATGATTTTGGCTACTTCATTGTGTCGGTTGAGGTATTCCGTAGGAGCCAAATGAGTGCAGCTTGACACTATGTGCTGGATTGTTTCCTCCTGTTTGCACCCCATGCGGCATGATATATCAGGTAAGTTCTCTTTTAATATGAATTTCCTATAGTTTTTAGTTAGAATTACTTGGTCCTGTATTGCTGTCAATGCCCCTTCAGTTTCAGTAAATAAATATCCCTGTGTTAGATAAAGAAATGATTCTTCTTTTGCTACTTTAGGATTTTGCAAACTGTTATAGAACCTACCATGCAGAGACTTCTTTTGCCATGTTTCTTTAAAAGTTTGTGGTATGGGTTGGTCTTCTCTAACATCTGAAAGTGATAGTGGTGATAACTGCTTATCTATTTGGATTATTGCTCTAATTAATGGATGGTTTTGTCTATTGAAATATTTACATAAGCTGTTTTTTTCTTGTTTTAAAGCCAACTCTAAATTGGTTAGACCTCTACCGCCCTTGCATCTTGGTAAATATAGTCTTTCTATTGCAGATTTTGGGTGATGTATGATATACTTTGTTAGAAGCGTTCTTATTTTCTGATCTAGAGCTTGTATGTCTGTAGGAGTCCAGGCAAGAACTCCGAAGGTGTAAGTGATAGTAGGCATAACCCATGTGTTTATAGCGTTGATTTTGTTTTTGGCTGTTAATTGTGTTTTTAATATTGTTTTCAATCTGTGGGTCATTTTCTCTGAGTATTGTTCTTTATTTATCTTCTGGTTTATAACAAACGACTCGGCAAATCCTAAGTACTTATATTCCCCTTTCAAATTGTTGATGACACTTCCATCTGTTAGTCCAATATGTTCTTGTTTTTCTACCTTTCCTCGCACAACATGAATGGCAGCACACTTACTCAAACCGAACTGCATTTTTATTCCCTTGCTAAATGTAGAGACTATCTCCAAGAGACTATGCAATTGTTGTCTTCCTTTTGCATATAGTTTGAGGTCGTCCACATAAAACTGGTGTGAGATATCTTCTTCTTTATTTATTTTGTACGCATAAGGGCTAGAATTTAGTAGATGACTTAAGGAGTTTAAAGCTAAACAGAACCATAGGGGGCTTAAAGAGTCCCCTTGGTAAATTCCCCTTTTTATGTTTATATGCTCCGTTTGGTAATGCAAATGTGCCGCACCCACATGCAGTTTTGTTTTCCTAATTGTCATGAGTGTTTCTAACAGTCGTACAACTTGGGGATATATTTTATATATGTTCAATACTTGAATAAGCCAGGAGTGTGGTAGTCAAAAGCCTTTCGGTAATCTATCCACGCCATTGAAAGATTTCTCTTTTTAAGTTTTGCCTGCTTAGATACAATACAATCTATTATGAGATTTTCTTTGCAACCCCTTGCTTTATTTTTACAGCCATTTTGTTCTCATGCCATTAGGTTTTTGCTATATATATGTTGTGAAATTTTCTGTGATAATATTGATGATAAGAATTTATATACATGATTCAGGCACGTTATTGGTCTATAATTTTTTGGTAGGCTTGGGTCCCCTGATTTATTATTATTGTTATTTGTGATTACAGTGATGTATATATACATATGGTTTTGTAACAAATTGCTCGCTATGTTACGGCAAATGCTGAAGTTCTGTAAACCTTAATCAAGCCTTAATCAAAGCACGTCTGTTTGGAATTTTGGGTGTGAGTCTTAGGGCAGATTTCTAAAATATAATATGTATTTCCTTCGGCCACACACCCGCTTTATCCGGCCCCTGAGAGCGACCCGAAAGTACATCGTAATAGACTCTTAATGATTTTAGTGCAATATAAAACCTTTTCTATTTAATTTAAATAATTACAACTTCTCTCAGGTTACCTCCATTTTACGACCATCGGGGTTCTATGATCGGCCTGACCAGTAAAAGGCCGTGACTAATTTTCATAAAAGGAGTGCGAGACGCCGACTGTATTATCCTGGTTCCGTTTTATGGTCACTTTATGGTACTTTTACGAGGAATATCACGTGGCGGCCACATTGCCGCCTTTGTAGTACCTATCCGGCTGAACCATGACTAGAAAAGAATACCGCAGAAAATAACTACTTTTTTTCTATATCTTTTTACAACACAATAATGCGAACTTCTTAATTACATTATCAAGAGAAAACTCAGCTGCTTAAGCTGACATAGTTTTGTTGGCATTATTTCATAAATTGGTCATAAGATCAAAAATGGCCTATTTAAGGACAATGCGCACTATCCATTCCGTATCCGTTCCGTATAATATATTTGCAGCTACATTAACATTATGAACCGACGACGCGATGTCTACAGACAGTTATAGCAAGTTATAGCAGCCCGGGGAGGCAATACATCACAATGTAATAATATTTCAAAAAATTCCAAATTGTTGGCGGCAAGTTCATTTCGCTGTTAAAAATTAACAGAAAGCACGTATTGATATGCGCCAAATAACAAAATGCTCAGGAGACATGGTTTTGATCGAAAAATAACGTTTTAGAAAAAGTTACTCACAAAGTTATTGCACAGGGTGTATTAAAGTTATGGTAAAAAACAACCCTTCAATTAATCCTGTATAAAAAGCCAAATACTAAAGATTATAAAAACCTGAGTTTACGAATTAAAATTGATAGATTTATCTACAATTTGCAAAAAAAATAATGAAAATAGGGCTAAAACTAAAAAAATATAACACTTTAAACTCGACGAAAATATTCTCTGTTGCGTTTTTTTGCATCTGAGTGTATAAATAAGACATCATATTAAACATTGGACCACAACATTGGACTACTTGGTATAAAGTAGAATTAGCTTAAAACGTGAGACAGTTTAGAAAGTGCAGGCATTATTAAAATACAGGGTGGTCCTAACTGTATTGCGGAAATTTTGGCAGCATATTCTGCAGATAAAAATAAGTAAAAAAGTTCGTATAAATGTATGTCCGAAAATGCTTAGTTTCCAAGAAACAGGGTGTAGAAATTTCGATTTTTTCCAAATAATTTCTGAAGTAACGTCAATATTTCGATGAAAATTGGTGTATGGGAGTATTTTGATATGAGAAATTTGATTTTGATGTCAATATGACTCCTGTTTATAGGGGGCACCACCTACATGTTTTTTAACTCTTTTGAAGAGTAATAACTTTTCGTCCATACCTGTATAAAACTACTGAGTGAAAAAATAATATACATTTTGATTTTTTACGTAAAAAATGTTTCTTCGTAAAAATCGCTACGAGCAACCATTCTGAAGATAATTAGAATGGAAACAGTAATGTAGTAGTATGTCATTATTGACAAATGTAGTAGTGTATAAATGTATGTAGTATGTCATTATTGACAAAAAATAAACATATGTTGATTAGATAGTTATTTGACTGAAATGATAAATTTGGGAGTTTTTATTTTCTTAAATTAATCATAATTTTTTTTTGTTCGAAAAAATAATGATAAAATAGTTTCTGTTGAACTTTTGGCACAGTAAAAAGTTCAAATTTATTATTTCCGTATAATAACTAGTAGTCAACATGTTTAATTTATGTCAGTGATGACAGGTATTGATAATTTCGATTCCAAATATCTCGAGATCCATTAGTCGTAGCAATTTTTACCAAGAGACCTTTTTTACGTAGAAAACTTCGTAAATTTATATTTTTTTAATCAGTAGTTTTATACAGTTATGGGCGAAAAGTTATTACACTTAAAACCAGTTAAAAATATGTAGATGGCGCCCTCTACAAGTCAAAGCCTAAATGCCTAAAGAGTCATATTGACATCAAAATCCAAATACGTTTAAATAAAATATACGACGGCCACCCCATAAGAGCAATGAGAGGATTTACGTCCCAGTATTGAAGGAGGACAGAAATTCGAGTCGAATGGTTTCAAGACATAGGTTCATCCTTGTTTAGTCAAACCTCCTACAACACAAGGATAGACTTATGTAGGAAATGCATTTAAACTCTATAGCCATCCTTCAACATCGGGAGAGGAATTTAAGCGGTACCTTCCGTATACTTTATTTTCAACGTATTTGTCAAAATCCAAATTTCTCATATCAAAAAACTCCCAGACACCAATTTTCATCCAAAATATTGACGTTACTTATTCAGAAAAAAATCGAAATAAAAATGAAACTTACACCCCCTATATCACCCAACCCTGTATCTCTGAAACTAAACATTTTAGGACATTTATTTATACTAACTTTTTTACCTATTTTTATCTGCAGAATATGCTGCCAAATTTTCCGGAATAGAGTTTGGACCGCCCTGTATATTTTATGGCCTGTGTCTCATGAATCTTAGAATCATGAGAAATCTTAGAATTATGAGAAAATAGGACCTCGGAACAGTGATACAAAAAAGTCATCTTGTAACTAATTTTATAACTTTTGAAAGTATTATTAATATTATAAGACGTCATACTAAACATTGGACTCCTTTGTATAAGTAGAATTAGCCTAAAACGTCAAACAGTTTACAAAGTGCAGGTTTTTTGTTTGAACTTTATTATGACGGTGCGGATAGATGTAAGTATAAAGGCGGTCGAAACGATTAAACAACACTTATTAAGGTCTGTTTATGTTTATTTTATCGGCATCTTTCATATTTTCTGTTTGGTTCGGCTCGACTCCGTTTTCAAAGCTAGTTAAACAAACGGAGCACCACGGCGGTCGCAAAAATCTGTGGCGTACCGACTACCTAAACGGGAGCCCTGTTTGTAGATTCCTTTTAGAAGGGGAGGAAGCCCTAAGGGCTGCTTCGGAGAAACGGACAGGTCTCGGGTCTCGGTAGGGTACTGTTTGTTTTTCTAATCAGCAACGGTAGGATTGTGCAGATGGGAGCAAAAAAAACGTTTCCTGGTTTGTTTCACATCGGAAAGAACACATTAGATACCAGACTAAACCAAAATATTTTGTATATTTTTCGTAAGGTATTTAATTTATTTGGTTTATTATTATTATTATTTATTCAAATTAGCTTAAGCAGATGACACTTTTAAAAAATGTGGATTTACATTTGAATTTAGTTAGGAAATGTTAAAAATATTATTAATAGGAACTAATATCTGGAATACAAAAAAAATGTTTTTCTTGG